TTGTAACTTAAATCCAGACACCTATTACATAAATACATTGTACTGACCACGATTTTACCATTTCTTGGACTTTCCCTTTGAACTGTGAACTTCCAAGTTCCCTTTAAAACCAGCCAATTATGAATGCAAACTGTTATAACTGGGGATAAAGATTTTGTTTGTACATAAAACATTTATCTCCCTGCATTATTCATTATAATGTTTATGTAATGCTGGAAAATATATGTATGTCTCCTTGCGAAATTTTGTTCCTGATACAAACTTCCTAAAATAGATAATTATAGAATCTAAAGAAAGCCCAACACGGCAAAATTGAAAATGTTGCAGGCTCGGTTTGATTGAGCCTGTTCATGGACGGTACTGGAAAGTGCAAGTTACCGTCAACGCCCCCTAGCACCGGCTTAAGCAGAATTCAACATTTAAACATGAAATAGTAAAATTTTGAATTTAGAAACATCCGCAGATGTGTTCATACGGCGGTTATCATGGAACCTTCAATGTGACACTTCCGTGCCATTCCATGAAAAGCGGCGTATGGTCCCCAAGTAATAAAAAGCGTGTGCCCTTAAACGAGAAAACAATGGGCGGAACTAATTAATAAAATGGAATCTTGAAAGGGGATCCTAAACTAACAGTTTCATTTTCTGTCTGTTCACAATTAGAAACATTTAATTATATAACAAAAAAGTTAATTTATGAATCAGTTATATTGTCTACAGAAAAGGAGTCAAAAAGTATGTACCAGATTTGAGCTGTGCTAGTTTATATCAAGAAAACCTCTCAATTTCCATACATTAATGCTTCTAAATTATCCCGATTATTGCATCATGTACCAGTCTATTTAATTATTAGACTGTCTAGGGAAGAATTCTAATAGGAAATCCAACTGACTCTTATTTTTACTTCTTTTTGTCATTTTTATTTTCAGTTCTAGGTTTCTACTTATGCATATTTTTTCAAACATGTTCTGTAATTCTGCACATACAAGGTAATTCTTATCAATTTAATACTTAATTAAAAGAGCTAACTATGCCAAAACAATTATGGGATATTTTAAAGCTAATTTTCACCCTTGTTTTTGAATCTGTTAAAATGGCAGTGTACAGCTTCCATGTTTGATACTGTCAATTTAACAAGATGACAATTTAAATATTGTCAGCAAACAATATAATTATAGTCTAGTAAGAGTACTACATAAATGTACAAACTGGCATGTCTATATAATGATGATATCTTATGGCTAATTGGCCAGTTAGTCTCGGTCACAGCAGAGCAAAGAAAGTTTGTTTTTATTTTATTTTTTCTTTGTTTGTTTGTTTTCTTTTTTTACATAACAGAATTAGAAATATTTTCTCCAGATTAATGCTCTATTTGATATTGGTCTAGACCAATAACGTGTGCATAATTTCAGATAATTCGTTGACTCCGTTTTTCCAGAATGATTATTCTTATTGTGAAAAAATGACCAAACGTTGCAACACTTTTGACTCAAATCGGGCTAAGAGTTTTTCCTTAATTATCTTTTGTATATCTTACTGTTTAACGTACCTCAGTTGATCTTTATAAGAAATAAAAATCTTATGTTTTAAGGCTTTTCGATCTCAGTTGAGTTTCTTTTAATGCTGTAACAAATTTTAACAATGATCTACAAAAGTCTGTAAAATGGCATACTGTATGAAATCAATCAAATACTTCTGATATCTATACTAGTTCTTTTATTGTCAATTGTAAATACCATTAATTGGTTCTCTAATAGAACAGTCAGACATGATAGAAATATTTCTTGGAATAATCTTTAAACAACACGAAACCGTTTAAAGTTCAACATGCATTTATAAACTTCTTCTGTTAAAAGTGCTCCCGATTTATAGGGACATAATATTATAATAATAGACTGTTATAATTTTACTCCAAATAACCAATTTTGCATTTAAGGAAATCATTTAATTTTAAACCGACCCAAACATTCTATTGATTACTTTAAATTACTAAGTACAATTTTAATGTTTCAAAACTCTAGGAACTCAGCTTGTTAAAATCAGTTACATTAAACAAAGATCACTTCAAACATGTATACACATTGAAATTTTGCCACACTAGAAGTGTAAAAAAGAGGATTGAACGCTTATGAATACATATTCCTGTCAATATGCTTTCTTGAGAGGTTGACAGGCCGTGGTTTTATTTTTCTTCAATCATAGTCTATAGTGAGTTTCCCAGACTATAATTACATGATCTGTTCATTCAGATAAAGAATATATTGTAAAATATTACCATTCCTATGTTGTAAAAAACTCGGTAAAATTCTATTTAGTTTCTGACTTGTCATGTCACTCCCTGCTGTTATTATTAAAATTATATGATCGACAATTTATTACAACAATATAGCAAGAGATTTTGGTTATATTCAATTGCAATCTAGTAGTAATGTGGATATATAATTAATCAAATAATTATTGAAATTAAAACATAGGTTCTCTGTGTTAGAACTCCGCCATGGCCGGTCCTAAGCCCGGATGAGAAAGGAGGAGGGTTGGGCATGGGGTTAGCACCCCCATCCTGGAAAAACCAACACCGCTACAGAAACATTGACGATAAATCATTGACGAAATCTCTGTGTTAGCCGTTTATTTTCTTTAAGAAATACAATGAAAACAGGTTTAGATTTATGATATTATGTTAGAAAGTGATTGCGCTAAGTCATTAATTTAAAACATTTAATAACTATTGTTCTACTATATATTCTTTGTCAAAATATCCAAACAATTTTATCAAAGACTACTTTTCAATTAAGCAATGTAAGACTTGTGACTCATGTCAGTGTAAGTAAAACAATAGATGACGATGAACAATACAAATGTCCAGGGAACGGCAAAGACACAAAGACAGTTGTTGATTATTGTTGATTATTATTGTTAAAGAAAGTGGATGTTTAGCATAATCAGTCAATGATGCTGTAACGTTTCTCCCATTGGAGAATATGCCGAAGCGATGTTACAAAATCCATGCTTAAAGTAATCCCTGATGCAACTACCATTGTTACCTACTTAACACGAAAATACTTGTTAAGATTAAAGTATGATTATTACTCGTTTTGAAGGTATGACGTTACTTCCTTATTTTCAACTTTGACGTTCTGTAGAAAGCCTTTAAATTTAGTAATTTCTATTCATATCTTAACCCCAGCATGTCGTATAAATACGGTTTGTCTCTTTTCAAAAAAGCGCGAAAGTAACGACATTTTTATCCGGTAACGCAATGTGATTTCGAGGCTCAGTCGTTGGCACAAAGTTTAACATAATTTGGTAATCCGACAAAACATCAGAAAGGATGGATGAAACATTTGTAAATAAACTAAAAAGTATTACGAAACACTTTCATCTATTTAAATGATTGCATTACAGTAGACACAATATATCTCAAATATATTTTGCTTACACAGCAATTGTTTTACTCGACTAGCGAACTGTCACGTACGATAATGGACTTTTAATGCATCAAAATTTCCATGATTATTGGTTTGTCTTTGTGATTTATCAGATGTCTTAGACAATAGTCAGACGATATCCATTTAGCGCGTTTCTCCTGGAAATTGTTTATGCTGTAAAATGACAGATGTAAAATCTAAATAAATTTCTGTGATAAATAACTTATTTAAAATTTGAATTGATTAGAATTTAAAAGCTGTATAAAGTTTTTGATCCAAGAAAAAACCGAAGCAGCCTAAACGGACAGATCAAGCAAGACTATATTCTACAGTTATCAAACAAGCTTAAGCATGATATCTTCATACACAACAAGATGACCTGTTAAAAAAATATTTCATTTCTAATTGAAATGTTGGCCTAAATTTCAATGCGCTCTATTGGTAGATGACATAGTTACATGAACTGTTCTCGTCCGAATATACATGTATATTTTGCTTGAGTATGACGTAACAATTAAGATCTCGTTTGATATACACATTTATATATTGTTATTCCTTTAGTCACGAACGGTAGGCAGCGTATTGAGAATGCTTTTAAAGCAATGATTTCACTTATTAGAATGTTAAAATACTTTCTTTCCTGTTATACCGATATATAATTAAACGTTGAATTGAAGTAGAAGAGAACCTTTGATGAGATTAATCTAATCCTGTTTGGGGAAAAAACTCATTTCACATTTGGATGATAGGAAAAGAAAAGGGCATTATCTGTTCAGGAATGTGACATTTTAATTTTCTAAATGAGAAAATAGTGTCTCGTTAAGGGAGGTAATAATGTGTTTTGTCTCAAAAGAGTTCCTGTTATTAGATTAATAAACTTCTTTTACGAGTGCATACTTCTAAGTGCTACATTTTTATTGACTTTTAAATTGGCAGTTTAAATTTCATGACCGGAAAAAGTGTTGCAGTTTTTGATAAAGGATCTTTTCATGACATGTGAAGGTTTCTACGTCATAATATTTATGTTTCATATTATTTTGTTTTGTTAACGTTATTTGATAAACTGCTTTTAAAGACCACTTGCTGAATGTAACAAAATGTTATTTTGTCAAATATGTTTGTCGTTTTGTTAATGAAGCATTTACGTGTAATTATGAAACCCCGGAGAGCCAAAAAAAGAAAAGAATACAGATAGAAGCCATGATTTGAAATCAGCCGCAAATGCTCATGTCTAAGTGGCCAACAGTTTTATGTGGAAATAGACAAGTAATGGGTCTAAATAACCTAGATTATTGAATTATCTTTTTTATGTGATTAGGCGTCTGCTTTTGGAGACAGAGCTGACGGCAAATCAATTTCAGTCACTTCTTATAAAAGAAAGTTATGTCAACTGATAAATTACATAGATAAAGTATGTTTAATGTCATTTTCACCTGCCTTTCAGTATGATTGGTGGTCATTTCTATTAGTAATCCGGATCAAGTAGCTTTCTTTTACTTTTCAATGATGATCGGCCATACGAGGAAGTCACAATGGGCTATTAAATACCTATTCAGCCGGCTACGAAGTTAATATGTATGCATTTTTGTTCCTTTTATATCACGGACTTCCTGATGGTTATGCGCTAAATCAGAAATCATTCCAGTTTGCAACTGCTCTTGTTAAACATTTAACAGGAGGTATGTGCACCACAGGCGTAGTAGCCTATAAGAGGTATGATAGAGCATCATACAATGAATTGTTTTAGTGTTGGTGTCTACTAGGGCAATACGAAGACGTAAATGCGTAAGAGAATATCTATGTTAGATACGAAGCACAAACAGACGCTGAGCCTTCCAAGGTAATAGAAAAAAAGATGAAATAAGGTATCTTCAATCACTTGACTTTTATTAAAAAAGGTGTAAGAACAAGTTTGCAACTAAGTTTTGTTGATCCGGAGTAATGTCATATATTCTCAACAAATAATTAGTACGGTTCAGCTTTTCTACTTGTCTAAAACAGCTCGTGTACTTTCTGATTCAATTAAGAATACAAGTGCAAAAATCATGTTACACAGTTTGGTATTGATAAATATGTTGTTGTTTTTCAAAAGGGAATAAATATATATATACACGTATTTATTACCTCCCTTTATAAAATATTAACTCTATGTGTGTTTTTTTTACAATTCAATACTTCTAATATAAAAAGAGTAAAAAAATATTTTATTTGCCGCGCAACGTCGTATTTTTACGTTTCCAGCACTTTTATAACGTTACGTTATTGTTATATTTGTTATGATTATATTATATTTTACTGTCTGAACATATGTACAAGCATTGAAAGCGCTAACAGAAATAAACGTATAAAAATTAAATATAATTTTTATTCTGCATTTCCCAAAACCTACTTTTTAATACATGAGATCCACACAAGGAATCGAACTATATATGCCTTTTTACCAGTTACGTTACCAGCTACGTTTTACTTTTTTACTTTTTCCTGTTCTTGAACTTTGTAAAACAATTATAAAGAAATGTCTTCTTATGATCATGGACTTTAATTAAAGTCCGTGCAATAATGATTCCCGAAAATAGTTGCAAGGACCGATATAAAAAGAAAATATTTGTAGCAAATTAATGCTGACTGTGCACAAATGGCAAACATAGATTTATAATATTTTCCCAGACTATTAGATTTTAATGTCTATGATATTTTATATGTCTTGGGAAACATTTGGACAGAAAATCAATTTAAATATTCCACAGGTGTAAAAAATCCTATATAAATATGTTTCCTGAGTATTTACAATAAAATAAATTTGTTTATATGTGTACAAACGATATAGTGGTGGTAATGTAGATATATATTCTACCAGTTATAAAATTTAGTTGCAATCACCATGTTTCAAAATATAAATCTATGGTAAATGTCGGAAGAGTTTGCAATTTTTGTCATACATATTGACGGTATTTCTAGATGTTATATTTATGGGCTCGTATTCTAATTTCCGTAACCGTTTTTATGTTAGCTGTTTAGACAGCAGATACTTTAAACAATGCACTTGCTTGGACTTATTGCATGTTTATGAGTTAGAAAGTAAGAAGTTTTATATAAAATGCACATAGCAAATATGATACACCTCTAAATAATTGTTTCGACATTATTGCCCTTAGTAATCTTTATATAGTTTGTGGCTTAACTATTGCACATTTTCATGCTAGACGAAATCTAAACAATGTTATAGTTAATGTCAGGTATTTCTCGAGTTTATTGTACATGTTGTAAATGTGGCATTAAGTCAATTATTGTTGCAGTGAAATATCTATGAAAGACATATGTATATACAAGCGGTTCCTCAACAATATTTTATTAGTTCCATAACCGACGTTGTCTCACTCATGCAACATTGACAAGTTGTAACTTAAATTCAGACCCCTATTACATAATACATTGTACTGACGACGATTTTACCATTTATTAGATTTTCCCTTTGAACTTTAAACTTCCAAGTTCCCTTTCAAACCAGCAAATTATTAACGCCAATATGTAAAAAGGTGTATAAATAATTAAGAGTCAACATAACTGTTATAACTGGGGATAAAGATTTTGTTTGTACATTAAAAACATTTATCTTCTTTTTACTCCAAAAGAATAATTTTGCATTGAAGTATATCATTAAATTATAAACCGACCAAAACATAATATTAATTACCAATTACTCTTAATTACTTGTTTCAAAACTCTAGGAACTCATTTTGTTAAAATCAGTTACACACAGATAGTTTCGACCAAGAATACACAATGAAAATTTGCCACACTTGGAGTGTATGAAAGAGGGTTATACGCTTATGTTCTATTTAGTTTCTGACTTGATATGTCACTCCCTGCTGTTATTATTAAAATGATATTACAACAATATAGTAAGAGGTTTTGGTTTGATTCATTTGCAATCTAGTAGTAATGTGGATATATAATTAATCAAATAATTATTGAAATTAAAACAAAGGCTCTCTGTGTAATTAAGCCATTTATTTTCTTTAAAAACGGTCAAGATTTATGATATTATGTTAGAAAGTGATTGCGCTAAGTTATTAATTTAAAACATTTTACAACTACTTTTCTGCTATACTTCTTTGTCAAAAAATCCAAACAATTTTATCAAATACTTCTTTTCAATTAAACAATGTGGCGTTGTGGCCGATTGGTTTACGCGTCGGATTAGTAATCTAAGGATTGCTGACCGCGTGGGCTCAAACCCTGTCAGGGGCAAGCTGTTGTTTCCTTGAAACTTTACATTCATTGCTTAGTACTGTTTGGTTCCAGGAACGGATTCGAGAGTGTTTCAATAAGCTTATAGCTTCCATCACAATCGAACTAAAAATAAATTTGTATAAACTAATGTAAGACTTGTGGCTCTAGTCAGTATAAAACAATAGATGACGGAAAATATAAACTATTCATTCCGATGGATGATGAACCATACAAATGTCTAGGGAACGGCAAGACACACAGACATCTGTTGATTATTGTTGATTAGTGTTGTTGAAGATAAAGGCTGTTTAGCATAATCAGTCAATGATGTTGTTGAAGAATATGCGGAAGCGATGTTACAAAACCCATGCTTAAACTAATACCATTGTTAGTTACATAACACTAAAAGATTTGTCAAAATTAAAATATGATTATTTCTCATTTTGAAGGTATGACGTTACTTCCTTACTTACAACTTTGACGTTCTGTAGAAAGCCTTAAAATTTGGTAATTTCTATTCATATCTTAACCCCAGCATGTCGTATAAATACGTTTTGTCCTTTTTCAAAAAGGCGCAAAAGTAACGACAGTTTTATCCGGTAACGCAATGTGATTTCGAAGCTCAGTCGTTGGAACAAAGTTTTACATAATTTGGTAATCCGACAAAGCATCAGAAAGGATGGATGAAACATTTGTAAATAAACTAAAAAAGTATTACGAAACACTTTCATCTATTTAAATGATTGTGTTACTGTAGACAAATTTATCTCAAATATATTTTGCTTACACAGCGATTGTTTTACTCAACTAGCGAACTGTCACGTACGATTATGGACTTTTAATGCATCAAAATTTCCATGATTATTGGTTTGTCTTTGTGATTTATCAGATGTCTTAGACAATAGGCAGACGATATCCATTTAGCGCGTTTCTCCTGGAAATTGTTCATGCTGTAAAATGACAGATGTGAAATCTAAATGAATTTCTGTGTTAAATAACTTCTTTAAAAATTAAATTGATTAGAGTTTAAAAGCTGAATAAAGTTTTTGATCCAAGAAATAACCGATGCAGCATAAACGGACAGATCAAGCAAAACTATATTCTACAGTTATCAAACAAGCCTAAGCATATCTTCATACACAACAAGATGACCTGTTAAAAATGATTTTAATTGAGATGTAGGCCTAAATTTCAATGTTCTCTATTGGTAAATGACATAGTTGCTGGTTCTTCAATGCGTTAACATGCAGCTCTCATCCGAATATACATGTACATTTTGCTTGCGTATGACGTAACATTTGATATTCACATTTACATTTTGTTATTCCTTTAGTCACGAACGGTAGGCAGCGTATTGAAAATGCCTTTACAGCAATGATTTCACTTATTAGAATGTTCGGTCAAATACTTTCTTTCCTGTTATACCGATATATAAATAAACGTTGAATTATAATAATACTTTTCCTATAAAATTATTATAGCTAACCACAATAACTTTTATCTGCGTTTTATATTATAAAATACAACCATTGCACATTTGCCTTGCAACAAAATGTCTAAAGAATGTTTTGTTAATGAACAGCTGTCTAAAATTGTATTGTTTAAGTAGCAAAAATGTCATAAACGTTCTTCTTCATCTTCTACTTAATATAATTACAGTGTTTAGAAAGATTACAGTTAGTGCAAAATGAATGATATTTTATACTGGTTATTACACGTATTTTTCATAGTATAGTATTTGCTGTCATTTTCATTTCATAAAGTTATGTTTTGAATAATTACTATTGAATAATATAACAACTATAATACTCACTGTGACCTGTTTATTCAAAGTGAAACATTTCGAAAACCATTAAAGATATTTCCAAAGATACATGTAGTGGACATCTGAAAATGCACAATGTTCATGCGAGCCGGTTTTACGTTAGCATTTTACTAAGTAAGCAATAGAAAACAACCTAAAACACCAAATCTATCCGAATTTTAATCGAGACTTGGTTTCCAGCTTTTTACATGATTAACCTGTCTGAGCGTGACTCAAAAATTTATTTGGCCAATCAAATTCTATTTTACATAGCAGCTTAATACCTTCAATTTTGACACCATTTTTTAAAATGCAGCAAGACTTGTTTTAAATCATGTAAAAATAAAACGTGTTAGTTTATCATGATTTGTTTTTAATCAATCATATTTACGCTGACGTTTAATTTACTTTATTTCACCTTCTCTAAATTAAGAATTGATTTCCCTATAGACTTACATTATGGGAAATGGTCCGTTATTCTACCTTAAAATTGAGTTATCATACTAAAGAGGTGATTTTTCTATGAATAAAATGGTTGACACATAAAAATGGTCTTGTTATATAGGGGTAGCCAACCAATGATCTTTTCAGAATGACTCCAAAGAGGATTTTACCTCAAACATTCTACATTGCTTCCATGCA